CTTGACCACAAACATACCTCGAAGACCATAGCACTAGATATCTCAAAGGCCTTCGACAAAGTGTGGCACAAAGGTTTTCTACACAAACTCTTCAGCGGCTTGCAGTATGGGGTTTCGGTCGGTCTGGTCCCACTGCCGACGTCCTAACATCACTCACAGAATCAGTCTTGACCACAAACATACCTCGAAGACCATAGCACTAGATATCTCAAAGGCCTTCGACAACTTCATCTGGTCCACCCGACGTCCCAACATCACCACAGAATCAGTGAGGATCTTGACCACAAACATACCTCGAAGACCATAGCACTAGATATCTCAAAGGCCTTCGACAAGGTGTGGCACAAAGGTTTTCTACACAAACTCTTCAGCGGCTTGCAGTATGGGGTTTCGGTCGGTCTGGTCCAGACGTCCTATGAATCAGGGTTTCCACAAACATACCTCGAAGACCATAGCACTAGATATCTCAAAGTCAAGGTGGTCCACCCCGACGTCCTGGTCCACACGTCATCACCAGTGAGGATCTTGACCAGAAGACCATAGCACTAGATATCTCAAAGACAAAGGTGTGGCACAAAGGTTTTCTACACAAACTCTTCAGCGGCTTGCAGTATGGGGTTTCGGTCGGTCTGGTCCACTCCCGACGTCCTAACATCACTCACAGAATCAGTGAGGATCTTGACCACAAACATACCTCGAAGACCATAGCACTAGATATCTCAAAGGCCTTCGACAAGAATGTGGCACAAAGGTTTTCTACACAAACTCTTCAGCGGCTTGCAGTATGGGGTTTCGGTCGGTCTGGTCCACTCCCGACGTCCTAACATCACTCACAGAATCAGTGAGGATCTTGACCACAAACATACCTCGAAGACCATAGCACTAGATATCTCAAAGGCCTTCGACAAGGTGTGGCACAAAGGTTTTCTACACAAACTCTTCAGTTATGGTGACACTGGAAAGGTCTTCTCAATCACAAAATCCTTCCTAACAGGTAGGTCCCTGAAGGTAGTTATCAATAGACAACCCTCCGGAACACTAGAGGTGAGAGCGGGCGTCCGCCACGGGTTACTCTTCGGACCAACTCTCATTTTGATCTACATAAACGATCTGCCTAAGAATATACCCAGATCATTTGTAAATATCTATGCTGATGATATGACTATATATGGGCGCACCTTTAAAACTCTCAATATAGTCAGTGATTAGTGATTGATCTCTCTTCTGATCTTGCACAAACTACCCAATACGGTAAAAACTGGCTGGTTACATACAATGTCTCGAAGACCGAGCTAGTTACATTTCATCATCGCCGATCTGACCCTAAACTACCACCAATGTTGATGAACGTAGGTCCTGTCGAGGAAGCACCGTGCCTTGAAAGAGTGTTGGGTCTCAAACTCATATCCGACCTCAAATGGAACTCGTACATACGAACCTTTACTAAGGATGCAAGTAAAATGGTCGACTCTCTGTACCGCTCCAGTAAGTACCTGACTCCTCATGCTATCCTCTATCTTTACAAGAGCCAGATCAGGTAAAAAAATGGACCATTGTTCTCATATTTTGGCGGGAGCTTTCCAGATCACACTCTTCAACCTCGATACAGTTTAAAAGCGTCTTCGCGCCCTTGTGGGTGACGAACTATTCTCCACCCTTCAACGTCTTTCCCACAGGCGGGATGTAGCAAGTCTCTCGTTGCTCTGCCGCTACTTCCACGGTAAGTGTATTCCCAATGCAAACCTTCAGAGCAAGAACACGCCATGCCATTTACATTGTGGCAAACTACCCACATCCCCTCCATGTTCCATCAGTGAGAAGTAAAGTTGCACTCGAACAGCTTCTTGCTGCGAAAAACTGCTCTGTAGAGCCGACTCCCAACAGGATGTTTCACTGATCACTACAATCTTAACCTGTTCAAGGCTAGAGTTAACCATTATCTCCCACTCCTATACGCAAAACTGGCCTCCAAAGGGCCTTGTAAAGAGTGAAGCTCAATATATATATATTGAATGCATTTTAGTGGATATACGTATTTGAGTTGTTTCCCTGTGAAAGTGATACAGGTTCAATTCATGTCGAAGGCACAAGTTTTCTATAGTGGGACCTCTCAATCTACGCTAGTTGTTATTAATTACACTATTGAAGAAAATAAAATAACAGGGATAGCAACTCAGTTACGTGTATCTACTAAAAAGTAACTTTTCTAGTAATAATATATATATAGGTATTTCCAAATATTCGCTAAAAATAAGTATACATGATGAAAAATGTTCAAAAAAAAGTTTTATTTTCAAAGTCTTTGTGTTATTATTACGAGGAAAGAGTAAAGGATATTTTCCCTAAAAATTATTTTTTAATCCTTTTTAGAACTTCCGAAATTTTGGTAAAAATCATCTTTCTCTCAACGGGGGACCATAAACCATTCGTCTGAGAAATTTTAGCATTTTTTTTGCGGGAAAAACCACATTAATTTGGACATTCTTGCAAAGCTAACTGTCCGATTTTAATGGAACTTTCAAAATTTATTCACAAATGAAATAAATTATTTTGACAAGTTTCTTTATTTTAGATTTTGATAAAAATACTCTTCTTTTACATTTGTTTCCCGACACATTTAATTTTATTAAATTTCGAAAAATTCATTTTTATACTGTTTAATGTTTATATTAGTTATAAGCACAAGTCTACGGAGAATTTAAATCATGAAATCTTTTTAATCAAACAGGACATTCAGTTACAGAATATCTACTCTGAATCGTAAAATAAAAAATACAACAAAATAAAATATTATTTAATTAGAAATGCTTTTAATTGCTTTTATTAATAAAATATATTATGGGAACTACTTTTCGATAAATAATTAATTTTATAAGAATTGTTTTTATTTTTTTTTAAATTAATTAGAATAATTTATAAAGTTTTAAATTTTTTAAAATTCTGTATTAATTTGAAATGGTGAAGTGATATTAAATAAAAACTAAGTTTACTAATCATAAATTGAAAAACTCATTACAATTCAGCGACGCCAGTAATTTAAAAAGAATTTTGAATTTGTTTATGTATGTGTGCATCAAAGTGGCAATTGTTGTAAATACGAACATCCATACATAGCATTATCCGAAATAAAAAGCGGTAACTATAGTAAATTTAAAATTTATTGATAATTTTCTATTTCCTCAAACGTGTGGACAGATTTGTCAATATGGACGGTTTTAGCGATTTTACTACTACTACTGCTGCTACTACTATTACTGCTACTACTACTACTAATAATAATAATAATTCTAATCATTTTAAATTAGGTTTGAAATACAGCAAAGTATATATATATATATATATATATATGAAGAAATATAGTCTTAAGGTGTGCTATATTTATGGGATAAAGTGCTCAATATCAGAGATAGAGCGTGTGTAAATATAAAAGTGAACATTGCAGTCAACACTTTGAGGCGCAATCGTCAGACCCTGGTGGCCTGACGATTGCGTCTAGCATGAAACAGAATGTTGCCTCTAAGTGTTGACTTCAATATTCACTTATATATATATATATATATATATATATATATATATATATATATATATATATATATATATAAGGAAAGGCTCAATACATCACAATACATCATTAAAGAGTTCGGTAATAATTTATTTCAGACAACTGCCTCATTAGACCGGAGTTATAAAACGGTTTAAATCATCCAGACAATTTATAAAAAATCACAAGTGGCAATGAATAAAAATTTGACTTAAAAAATCCTTGAAGAGATAAGAGGAAGGGGAAGAAAAAAACAATATATATATATATATATATATATATATATATATATATATATATATATATATATATATATATATATATATATATATGATAACTTTTTAGATTAGGTGATGGTGAGGACGATATAAATTTGATTTATTTTCAATGTATTTCACTAACTATAACTTTGTATTTCCTCTACCAACCGTGCTCGTTTGGTTTACATGTTTTTTGGGTTTTCTTCCTGTTTCCTCTTATCTCTTCAAGGATTTTTCTCGTCAATTATCTGTCTGAAATAAATTATCACCGAACTCTTTAATGATGTATTGTCCTTTTCCTTTGATGTATATCATTGCTTTTTATTTTGCTACATTGAGATCTCTTCATGAATCTATCCTTTTAATATTTTATATTAAAAAAAAGACCTATTTGCATTACCTTTACCACTTACGGATTTTATATATATATATATATATATATATATATATATATATATATATATATATATATATATATATATAGTCAAGACCAATAACATTGCAGATAGATAGATAGATATGTAACGTTATGTTAGTAACATCTAATATGAATACGAAACTAAATTTGTAATACGTAAAATTATTGCTTATTCATCTCTGTACTCCGTCAAATGAACGCTGGTCGTAAGGGTGGTTAAAGGTGTTCGATTTTTCGGGTATATTAGAAAGAATGTTAGACTCTTCATTTTGCGAGGGTACAAGGGACTCTACCTTCCATCCGCGAGTCGGGTGTTTATATATAATTTCCGTCCATCCGCTTGTCTTGTGTGTTTGTCCTAAGATCAGCTCAGTCGACCTTTTGTTTCATGTCGGCGCATCTACTGACGTCATTTGAGGTTCGATTCTGCACTTGGTAGTTGTGTAGTTACCTCTAGGTTGACCGTGTGTCGCCTCTAGCTCTTTTGATGTTCCGGTGGGACACCGAGTAATTTGATATCTCTTAGGGCGAAGCCAGTTCATATTTCTATTGACACAGATAAATTCTTTTTAGAATATCTAATATATCCTGGCGTAAATCACATTCTACAAATATATATGATATCTATCTCAATCTATATATCTATCTATAGATAGATTGATTGACAGATAGACAGTAAGATAGATAAATAGAGAGAGATAAGCGAAGACTGGGGTAGATAGATAGTGCGATGGGAGAGAGAAGGAGAGAGAAAAAGAGAGATGATAAAAGAATGAGATGCCTAGCTAGCTAGATAGATATGAACGGACAGATAGAGGGGGAGAGAGAGAGAAGATGAGAGAAAAGTGTGTAGATAGTGTGTAGGGAGAGAGAAAAGACAAAGAGGAAGATGATAGAATACTGACATAGATAGATAGATAGATAGATAGATAGATAGATAGATAGATAGATAGATAGATAGATAGATGGAAAGAGAGAGATGAGAGAAAACTGGGGAAGATAGATAGTGTGAGAAAGAGAAAGATGATAGAATACTGCGATAGAAAGAAAGAAAGAAAGAAAGAAAGAAAGAAAGAAAGAAAGAAAGACGAAAATACTGAGATAGATATGAACAGAATGAGCGATATATGAACTGGATAAGATCGTTTTTTGTGTTTTAACTATTCTATTTTTTACCTTCATCTATATTGGGGAGTGTTTTTTTTTTCTATATGTGTATGCTGCAAAGAAATCATTCAATTGGAAAAAAAAATCGAACTTATTACCTTTTGCCGAGTACCCACTTTTTTCAGTTCTTGCATTTTTTCTAGTTTTCATTTTTATTTTTTGATCAGTAAACACGTGACGAAGTCTTATTTGTCGATGTTTCTTCGGAACAACTTATCATTTTATTTGAATTGATTTCTGCAGAGATGATATTTTGTCGAATGTCCAACGGTTTTGTAAAGAGACTGATTTATTGTGCGTTTTCCTTTTGGCACTGCCATTGGCAACGGCAAAAAAAAAATGTTTTTCTAACACAACCAAAATAAAATATGTCTGAAATTAAAAGCGAAATATTTATATTCAAACTCCCGGCGAAAATTTGAATATTGTCATCTTATGACGGAACTTCGAAAAAAAAATTAATAAAAAAAATCGAAACTAACAATTTTTAACTAATTTTTCTCTTTCTTAAGAAATGTTTCTTCCCGCCGTAAATGACCGAACCAAAGGAGAGCTACTGAAAATTGTTGAGCGTTTCAAACAAAAAGAACGCACGAGTTGCTTCCCTTAGATTGAGAAATAATTAGCTGGAACAAACTATAAATTAATGACTTAGAAATCGCTATTCGTTACAAAAACAGATTAACAATTTCTGTTTGAGTTTCTGGGATGAGGAGTTATCATTATTTACACTATTTACATTCGGACTATTGTCCTCATCTTTGTTGTTGTTATCACAACATTTCGGCTGTTTCTGCCCTTCGGCCTTCCTCGGGTATATATCGATCTGGGTAACGTACAGGGAATTCTGAACTGAACCCTTTATTTAATCTACAGGGTCACACTGTTCTCGATTTCCCGCCCATGTTTAGAGATATCTTGCTTAGTTCTTTTTTTATAGTACTTCTCAGATATCGCTCACTCGTTTCCACGGAGTACATCAGGCTTGGTATAGTCTGGCACAAAGCCTCAAGTGTGGAGCATTCGATGACACTAGAATTCACTCGATTAGTTTAGAGCCAGTGAGTAATTTTCTACAGATGTCAAAGATCTTTATTTGCTACAGATGTCAAAGATCTTTATTTACTATAGATGTCAATATCTTTATAAAGCTCTTAGTTTTCCTGCTTGTTAGGATGTATTTGAAAAAAAGGTCAACTATACATAAGAATGCATTTAGGAGATAAACTGTTACGTGTCATGACGAATGCAAAATCTGAGAAGCTTTAAGGGTTATGGCAAAGAAAAGTAATTATTAGAAATAAAATGCCAGCTACTATGTTTAAACGTAAACGAAACTTTTAGTGTAAGAAGACATTGGTTTACGTAGAAAAAAAGGTAGTGAGTTCAGGTGGATGATGAAAGTGAAGTCAATACATAGTCTTTCTGATAATGATGAGGACAGATTATTAAATGGAAAAGAAAACGAAGCTTTGAGTTAATTAAAATTAAATAATAGGCCATTTTTAAAATTTAAAATTTTCTTTCATTTTTGACAAAATATAATCTACTCGCTGCTTGGAGTTAATCTTTTTTTTATTGAAAGAACGCAACAAAATTAGAGGTCAATAAATTTGTGGACGGGAGAGAGCAGAGATCGATCGATTTATGCAAATACAATTAGAATGATAATCGATAAAGGAAGAGCAGATAAAAGAAAGATTTGGGGGTGAAGTGAAAAAAATGGGAAGAAAAATCGGAAATAAATGTTGATTGACTTAAACTAAAAGAAAATGCCGTCCTTCATTGCAATCAACATCGTCCGTCCGACACAGAAAGACTGGCTTTCGCCATTTCGCTTATTTCTAATCAAATGTAACAATATTTCTACATGACAATTCATGGAATTTTGATGAATTTATTATTTTGGGATACTTTTATTATTAATTAATCTGTAATCAACTTGTGTCATAAAAGTGATCAACAAGGGGTTCGAATAATACGATTGATTATTGTATGGAAATCTATTTACATATTTAAATGTATGTAGAGTAATGAACAGAAAAGGGTCCTTTTACAAAATAACACACTCTCTATAATCAGTTACTCTGAGTCTAACCATAATTATGATTTTAAAAATGCTACTCTAATTAAAAGAGAAAGTAAGTTACTAAGATGAAAATGTATAGAAAGTGCTTTAATCGCTATATTATCCACAGAAAATGTACATCCAGGTTTTTACAACGTTTCATCTTTCTTGGCAGCTCTTCTATTACCACAATGTAGGATATTTACAAAATTGATGCAAACAAACAAAAAGAAACTAAACGAAATCGGCTGATTATATACTTAAAAAACATGTATTAAAAAAATTAATTAAAATTTAAAATTATCAGCGTCCCTTTCCATCGCGCGCATGCGTAGTCGTATCAATGGAAATATCACTTTAGTCTGATGAAGTCTTAAAGGGCTAAACGCCTTACACGAAAACTTTTTACACTTTGTTTTAGTTTTTTCCGTGTTCTTGATACATAAAAATGTGTATATTGTTTTCCCATGTACGGTATTGCAAAAGCGATATAATAAAGTTATATCATCTGAATACAAAATAATGTTAAAATTCACAGGATTATTAAACATTGGATTTCAGCTGCCATCAATAAATTAGGGCAGTCATTATTGTTGGCGGTAATTAAAAAAGTATCATCAAAGCTTACAAAACCAGTGTTTTTTATTTTCCAAGAAGAAAGATATCTAAGAATACAAGTGCTCCGGAATGGTAGCTATATTTTCTTAGCACTGCTCTTAATAGCAATTGAAATGAAATTTATTCTTATGTAATCACTTTCAATGCTGATGTGTTTGTGTTTCTATAGATGCCGTCTTTTTCTCCTTTTTTTTAAGAAGTACACATGCCTTGTCCCAAAGCAAAAACGCTAAATATCTCTAAGGGAATTCGTTGAACTTGGAATATTCCATCCCTTTATCAAACTTTCTTTTCCCCATAAAATTCTGTGGTCTTGATTATCACATAGCCCCCCACCCCCCAGATGAACCACCGGAGGGTCGTGGTGGTATGACTACAAGACCCACAAGTCTCGTTGGTGGGTCGTTTTCTAATTTATTTTCTATGAGGATTATTGGGAGTGCGTTGCTATGATTGACTGCTTATCAGATCATGGTACACCCGACCAAACATTTTTTAAAAAAATGTAAATATTTTTGAATACAGAAAATGAGAATTAGTTCCAATGTAATACTTGTATATTGGGAATTTTCCAACGGCCCACGGGTAGGTCGTGTGGGACTCTGGGTTGTAAAATGGACTCAGATACCGAAAAACGCTCCGGTGAGTCGTGGATAATAAATACTATCTATGGTATCATTGCCTCATTTATGAAACAATATTAAAACATAAAGTCACTTGTACCAAAATTAATTAAGATATAGTGTTGGGACAACAAAGAAAATGAGGCTTATTAACCCTAGAACACTAACCATAGGTATATAGTACCCAGCACAAATTTTCCTATTTTTAATCACAATTTTCAGTACCTGATTTTCTTACCCAAATGATATGTTTTTCAGTTCCTATTAATATTAGCTCAAAGTTTGAAGTGCCTGCATGTAAAATATTTCAAATAAAGATTTATATTTAATATTTTTTTTGATATTTTCAAAATCGGGTATATTATACTCATGGTTAGTAGTGGTGTAACTTTAATTGATGGTTAGTGTTCTAGGCTTAAGTGTTTTAAAACCACAGAATCTTATTGGAAGCGAATTCACTTAGAGATCTTCAGCGTCTTAGCTTTGAAAAAAATGAAACAAAGCAAACCCCTCTTGTTTATCTACAAGTGTTCGTTCGTAATATATTTATTAGTATTTTCTACTACACAAATTCGAGATTAGTTTGCTAACCATTACTCTACGGAGAGACACGCCATTCACATGATGTTAAAATATTTCGTAATCTAAGCTATGTCCTTGCATGTATAGCATTACAATTGCTTCTCCAAGTCAATAGAAGAAAACTATATAGATTCTTTTCCAAACCAGATGCATCTGAAATTCGTTAAAGACTAAGCAAAAACTCTCTGTGAACTCACTGATCGGAATTTCTCAACAACTACAGATAAACTCGGTTATTTGGGGAATATTTCGATTTCCATGTTAGATATTCAACCATTCATTGCAAAAGGACATTCATTGCTAAACACTATAGGCTTGTGTCAGACTTTGGAAGCAACAAGTCGAGCCTGATGGCGAGTCTGTCGATCTTTCTACTGAAAGGAAATTGGTTTTGCAACCAATCAATGAGTTGAAAAATAAGGAGAACAAAGAATCGACAGAGAAAAATTTTTTCGGTGGTTCGTTTCTTTAGTTATTTTTTCAAGATATGAAGTATCTTGAAGGAAAAAAGACGCCAGCAAAAAATAATAATAATAATAATAATAAGGCACTAAAAAGCGAAAGCAAAGCCAAGCGGACGAACGGAATGAAAACAGCGTCAATGTCAGAAACGCAATAAAAAATGTCGATACAACAATTTATCTCGCACGTTATGTTACTGAGTCCTATTCTTACTAAAAGTCGACATTATTTTAACCTATAATAAACTAAATCTAAATTTTGTAAATTACTCTATTGAGGGATAAGACAGGTTTAACAAAAACAATCCCGTAAACCAGGGGTGTCCGAACATTTTTCAAGGCGGGCCAGATTTGATGAGGTGAATATAAATGAGGGTCAACCATTCTGCTTGGCATTCTTTGAACGATTAAAATTAAATGCAAATGAACTATGAAAATTTGATTGCAAATGGCATATTTTTATTTCTTCACGTGAATGTCAAATTTAAACAGGTCTTACCAAAATCACTCACCCTGTCATAGTTAAAGTAAAATGTAATGTCCCATTATCATAGCCCTTAGCGAGATTCGTCTTAGCTTCGTAAAAATAAAAACACTAATCAGTTGTTCATTGTTAATTATTCCTCTTAGTGAAAGAGTTTTTATAGAAGTGTCGTCTTCCAGACAGGAAAGCAATTTCCTAAATGTCTTCTTGCTTCTCTCAAAAGTCAATGTTTTTTTTTTTCACAACTGAAGAACCATAACGATTTCCAATCACGAACCGAAGACGCCCCAGCGTGGGATAATGATTAACAAGTTAATCTGGCTAATCAGTAAGTTCGATCCTCATTAGGCGCTCCATAGTTATGGCCTTGTGCCAATGTTAATAATTTGCGTCACGAGTACTGCTGTGGGGCGTGTTTAGGGTAAGATAGCAAGCTGGTTTTGAATTCATAGTTTTCCTTTTCCTAGACTGGTTGCTACCTCAAGGCAAGAGAGCCTAGCCCAGTAAAAGCGAATAAGAGTTAAATCTACGTGTGTCTTTTGTCGTTTGCATATCAGATAAGTTGTCTTAATAGCATCGTTACCAGAGAAGTAATTCTATAGAAACTAAATTTAAATGAAAGCTGATGAAAGGATAGATCATTGCTAAAGGGGAGGTAACGCATTCTCGGCCGGGTTTTGATCTCGTATTACCATTTTCCCTTTCCGAGTTGTTAACCATCACACTACACACGCATCCATAAGCGAATAAATACCACTGTGCAAAGTATCAAATAAAACTATAAGGGGTGGAGTTGTTAGTGAACGCTGATTAATTGAATGTTCGCTTAACTCCGAAAATCGAATGCTCGTAAATAAATGAACATTCGATTAACAAATAAAATAAGTAATAAAATTTGATAGTTTTCAGATCGATGTGAACAAATAATGAATTATCAACAAAAATACCTAACATCTTTATTTCTTAATCGATTACTAATTACTCCACTCCCGTCCTCTTTTTAATGTCATGTCCCTTCAGGACGCAGGCGATCATGGCTCACCATAAATTCCACTTTCTTTGTTATCTAAAACTCTATTCATTCTTGGGAAAGATGATAGTGGAGTGATTTCTCAATTACTCTCTCCACACTTTGCATTTCAAAGTTTCTTTTCTCTTAGACTGGATGCCATTCAAGGCAGGAGAGCCCAGTCTATGCTTTCGGAGGAGGAGGGGTATATTCATACCTTTCCTCAGCGAATGCAAACGTGGCAGGATAGACTGGGACTCGAATTCATCGTGCCGATAACCGTTGCACTAATTGCACCTTTCATTGCTTACTTAAACAAAGACATGTATTTACGGAGTGAAGTTCTTTCGTGGAAATATATAGGAAAAGCGAATGACAGTTAAATCTACGTGTGTCTCTTGTCGTTTGCATATCAGACTAAGTCGCCTTAATAGCATCGGAATCAGAAATAATTTTATAGAAAAGTTTATAGAAAAGTTTATAATCGGTCGGAGCATGCGTCAATTGATTTTGAAGTCCAGTGCCGGATTAGCCTAGTAGCAAAAGTAGCAAATAATACGACCCCTGCATTTTATAAGATCCCACATTAAATACTTTCAAACTCTCTACTGAAACAGGAATATTATAAACTGGCAATGTTAATATTTACATGTCAGCTTTAATTATTCATCATTTCAGACATTTTTATTGAGGACATTAAATCTACTCAAATATCTTGTTACAATCATTTGCTTCATATTTTTTCTGTGTTTGTATTTTATGTCGATACAAATTAAATATCTACCCTTATAAGATCTCTCACAAAGTTAGAAAATAATTTAAGATTTAATATTTATGCGTTTTGTTTTTGTTTTGTTTTTTATATTAATGATCCCTTTATGCTACAGGCCACGTACTAGTTTAATCCGGTCCTGTTTAAGGTGGTTTAAATGATTGTATATGAAGAAAAGTTAACGCTGATTTGTCGAATGATTTTATTTTCACGTGAAATTAAGAGAATTCCTTGAAAAAGTAACAGCCGTCTTTTAAGGAGAAAGAAAGTGAAAAGGGTAAGAAGCAAGAAGTTTGTCTAGTTAGGATTTAGGAATGCAAGATGTTAACAAATGAGATTCACGGAAAGACGATTCAAAACTAAGCAATGACAATAACAATACAGAGAGTTGATCGAAAGAACAGAGAACAACTCTGGCTTTATTTTAACCAACTTGAATAAAAAATGTTTACACGCAGTCGAAAAAATATATATGTATAAATATATATATATATATATATATATATGTATGTGAGTGTGTGTGTGTGTTTGTGTTGATATATATCGGAATATCTTTCTGAAAGAGAGAAACCATAAACATGTTAACTGCTTTCTTAAATATTCATGACAAACGACGCCATTGATCAAGTAAACACGTAAAGCGCCCTCTGGCTGTTTCATCACGTGATTTAAGGGAAACAACAAAAAAACCGGGGAATAAAATAATTAGAAGGTATTCAAAAGTTCTTTAAATGAAGAAACAAACACATATGTATCGATAATCATAACAAATTAGAATGGAAGACATTTTTATATGTTATTATTTAAAGGTTTGCTGTTTGTGTCTGTGGGATGGGTCTCACGGTTAAATAAAAGAAAACAATAAATACAGGGGTGATGCCAATTCCGTTGTCATGGTTACTGATGCTGCTTCTAAAATCCCCAATGAAGAAAGGAAACCGGACTGGGACAATATATAAGAAAGGACAAAAATAAAATAAAGAGAAAATTAAATATTATAGTAAAATTTCGACACTGATATCCAATACCTTTTACTGAGCATCATTACGGTTACTGCCCCACCTCTCAAAACAAATTACAGCCCTAAATTTCGCCCCCTCTCTTTTTTCTTTTTCTTTCAAAAGACAAAAAACGGAATACCTTCACTATTCCTTATTCGTTTTCGAGCGCAAGTTTTTCAAATTAAAAGAAAAAAAAAAAAAAAAAAAAACGAACATTATTAGTTTCTCTCTGATTGATTTCAAGATTTTCCCACGCCATTCAGCTTATTAGAATTTTCTTTTTACAAAAGAAAAAGAATATAAAAAAAAAAATTAAAAAAAAGATGAAGAGGAATTTTCAAAGAGCTGAAAGTATTTCCGCGCAAAACAACGAATCTTGTTGAAATCATCATTTTATTGTTATTATTATTAACATTACAGCGGGCCAGTAATAACAACGACGATCTTCAATACAAATCAGCTTTCAGCATTGTGCCGAAGCCTCACTCCAATCTTGCTGCAGCAAATGTTGGATATGCCATTAATTTAAAAAAAAGTATAAAATAACACAAAAGAAAAAAAAAAAATCACTGGGTCCTGTCGGCAGCATCTGTCCATTTATGATGTTAAATTCTTGGAGAAGTAACACAGTCCCAGTTGATCATTTTTCCTCAAAGAGTTGAACTTTCAAGAAAAAATGAAGAGTTATAAAATAATAACAATAATGATAAAAAGTTTAATTTTGTTTGACGGATGTTGCATTTGGTGATTTCGTTTTCTGATGTTACTCGAAAAAATCTTTATAGATCGTCATATCGTTGTGGAAGCATCCTTTAATGGTATCAGGCGCTTATTGATGTCTCTGGAAAACTGGAACTGTTGTTTCTCAGTCAACGGATGGCATAGTGGTAGACTAAACAATGTGGTGGAGTGGTGTGGTTACATTGATTCCAGAAAACAGGAAAATATTTAATCGTCAGATTTGTCAGGGAAGGGACCAGCCATCACCTTCTTCATCAGTTCTGGAAAAAACAAAACCAAATCAGAATAAATATTGGAGAAATGAGAAAATCAGCATTCTTTAAGAAATTTGTTATTGAAAAATCGATTTTAAATGTAAGCAAATCTACATTAAACCACTAAGTGCTTTTCTGTGGTGTAGTGGTTAGTGGACTTACTCTCGTACACAAATACGACTGTGCAGTGAGTTTGAGCCATAGTGGGTGGGGCTTCACGCTTGTAGCTTTGTGATATACATTTTTTTTTTAAAAAAGTTTATTCAATACCAGCCTCAAGTGCCACACATGGTAGAGAGTTACTGAATGGGGACTGTGATGAGAATGTTAGATGATATGCAAGTGAAGATTATGAGGATAAGGAGGATGGTTAGCAATTGACCCTTACATTGAAGGGGTCAAGACAGATTAAACTAAACTTAAAAGGTCAATAGCTTTCTGTCCCAAACCAGACTTGTGTTATTAGTAGGCGTCAAAAATAATGTGACTATCATAGTTTAATAAAATTAACACTTTATTTCGTTCGAAAATCATCGGCCAGGAAAATTTGATAGCACTTAAAAAGCCATTTGGGGCTTACGGCCCCATATCACAATGGAACACCGGTTTCCGTTCGATCACCGAAGTTAAGCAACAATGTTCCTGGTCATTAACTAGATGGGTAACCACTTGGGAATATCAGGTGTTGTAAGTTTGAATTTGCGGGTGGTGTTATGGACAACGGCTCAGAATTGGAGAGCGGAGTTCGAATTCCAGTCAGGTTCGTTATATTCTTGTATGCGCAGATACTTCACCTCTTCTCCCCCTGCTATGGGTTAAATTATCCCCCACCACAAATATTAATACAATATTCAATCGCAAAAAGAAAATTATTCTTAAAATCCCCCAAATATGTTTCGGCTTTAAATAACCTACAAAAGATTGATAAGTAGTAAAAAAAAAAAATAAAATAAAATAAACACAATCCACTTTGATGAAAAAAGAATGTAATTTGAAATATCTGCCGAGTTAGTTGTTATTATTTGAAGATAAGTGGGTTTTATTGTAGGAGTTGTTTAGACTATTAATTTAGTTTGTTATAACGCTTCGAGTGACCCATTCGACTGCCTCCTTCAGGTTGAACATTTTCGAGTAGCACAACGAATACAAAACCTTTCCGATTTCTTTCGATACAGATTGTCGGCCATAAAATAAATCGGCTGAAAAATTGTGGTAAAAAAAACAGACAAAACCATAAGAATTAAATTATATTTGAAAAAATTATGGATAGATACTTAGAAAGCATGTTTACAGAGTTAGTACAAGGCCACAATTGTGAAGCACCCAGCTCATATCGAACAGTAATCAACAAAACTAGCTTGTTAAAAACCGCCTTACAGCAGGTGCCCCAAGTATATATTTGATCCACTATTCAGGTAGATAAGAATTTACCTATTAGGTCATCATATTCAGGAAGTAATCAAGAGAAATTTCCATGCAGACATTTTACTATAGCATGAATTCAAAATGTAAAGCGATTATGTTGCGCCAATTCGAATTCCAATAAATTACCCGCTTTGAAAATCAGCATTCGAAATTCTGGGTTTGAACATCAACCGCATGCACCGGTGACAAATTACACCGCAATTTCAGTGACTGGGTTGGCCTAAGTAATTATGAATTCTGGTGTGTAGAATTTAATATAATATGCAGGGAATTCATTTAATAAGAAATTGGCAAGTAACTAGTGGGTTTTCGATTTGCCATCAGAAATTTTGACCTACCCTCGTATTTGACGTTTCCATCAATGTCCTCTCTTACATCGCAGAAGGTGAAGATGTCATTACATTGTTGCTCAGTGAGTCTTTCTCCTGAAAGAAATATTATCAACAAGCATTAGTCAAAATTAACAAAATTAAACACTTTATTAAATAAAAAAATTCAATAATATCAAAACGGCTTAAAATCAATAACATGAATATGAATTGTCGTTCATCTGTCAAAACTAACAATGAATATATGAGGTTTTATTGATATTTCCTAGGCAGTATAGGGCATATTTCTTCCTTATCTCAGTCATATATTGTGAGACGTCAAAATTTGAAAATTCATTTTGGTTTGTCCAGTAGACACTTTTTGTTTGTATGCGAGCTTTTAAGGTACATCCTCGAAAAGTTTTTCTTTTGTCAAAGGCGTTTGTAATTAGAGATCATTTGCTTTAAAATTGAGACTTAAAGAATTACTCAAAACGTCAGGTCTCAAAGACTTCGATAATTTTGAAGAAAAACTGCTTTTAAAATGACTGTCATTTGCAATCATTTTTAAACATGTCGTTATTGATAAAAGAAGATGTTACACACGACTTGAGCAAATTGAACGATACACAGCATTTATATTTAAAAAAGAAAAAAAGAAAGAAAAAAAAGAGTCTGAAATGAATGTGAAATTTTATCACTTGAAATTGAATATTTGAAAAGAAATTTTTTTTTTTTTTCATGTTAGATATTTTTGAAAAACATTCCATAAAGTTTATCATGTACCAGATGCTTATAAGCGATTCTCCAGTAAATCTTTAGTCAGGAATCTCTTCTTGACGGGTAATTAGTTTAAAAGTTCATTAACTTCTAATCAATGTTAGTCGTAGATAAATCCAGAATTTCTCAAAGTCTTGTTGGGAAAATCTTTAACAAGTCATCAACATTATTGTTGATCATATTTCCATTTGCATTGTAACAACACAACTCTTCTTTGTTGCATTAAAAGACAAAATTCCAAAACAGGCTATTGATTTGCTCTTGGTGAAAATAAGGGTATCGTTCATACTACTCCACAGGAAATACTATCGATCAAATTATTTACGCAGTGTGAACATTGCAATTCTGTCTTACCGTGGAACTTATAAGAAACAGACGATAACAGTGCATGCGCAGCGAGGTGAATGGAGGCCGCCATTTTTTGTTCCTGTCGCTTTACGCCCCAACACAAACAAACGTCGATGTAACTCTTCTAGCCTATTCTTCAGTCTTTCATTTGCCATTGTGCAAATCGCTTTTGAAAAAAGACACTTCGATTTTTTTGTACACTTCTGTACTTATCGGCAAAATTTTCTGAATATGAAAAACGTGTCTTAGAAAAAAAATCTTGGAAGTAAAAAAAAAAATTGACTTTTGAGATGTTTTTCTGTAAGAAGATTTTTATTCTTTTTGCTATTCATATCTTTCTTAGAGGGAAAGAGAGAGAGAAAGAGAGGGAGAGGGAGTGGGTGTAAGTGTGTGTATGTGTGTGTGAAAGAGAGAGAGTGTGAGTAAGTGAGAAAGAAATATAGAGTGAGAGAGAGAAAGAGAATGTGAAAGAGAGAAAAAGTGTGCGAGAGAGAGAAAAAGTGTGCGAGTGAGAGAGAAAGAGAGAGAGAAAGAGAGAGAGAGAAAGAGAGAGAAAGAGAGAGAGAGTGTGTGTGTGTGTGTGTGACAGAGAGAAAGAGAGAACTTTGAAATGAATTTGTTTGTGTCTTTCTGATATTAATAATTTATAAGTTATTCCCCAGGAAAAATAAGGGCCAATGCTATAGGATGCTATTTTCTTATTGTTTAAGTTTTTCGGGAAATTAAATTAATAATTTACCTGAAGATTAATAATAATTAATAAGACTAATGATTTACCTGAAGATTAATAATAATTAATAAGACTAATGATTTACCTAATGATTGAAAGGTGCAGTAGATCCGAAATTTTAGGAAGTCAAAAAGAGTTTTTTCCTCGAACTTTGGAACATATATAAAAATACAAAATAAATATGTATACCTTACATTTCCTCCCCACCTTGACATTTTACATCAAATCCTTTAGAATAAAATATGCAGTGTAGAGATTAAGAATCTACTTTATGGTATAGATATATATATATACCATAAAATCGATATATATCAGTGGTCATATGTCAAGCAGTTTTACAAACGGTTGTCGTTCTTTTATCTCCTATCCCAAACTTTGTCATAAATGTCTTTTTATATTACACCGATTTCTTTAAAATGGTAATCTAGAATTAAACGATGCTTAGTGATTAATTATATTAAATATTGAAGTAAACTGTCAGTGTTGTTAAACGGGTTGAAAGTAACTGAAATTTTGCTGAATAATAAACAAATTATTAAAGCAACTGTATTGACGTCTCCTGAATATTTCAATGACCAACATACAAGGTTGTCCTTTTATTAATGTCACATCAATATGGATTTTTTGGGGGATTATTTCACAGCTGCGGATATGTCTCTGTAGATACGTCATTAATCCCGGATTAGTGGGATTTGTCATGAACTTTTTGATAAAACAGTAATGCAAAAGTTTACAACCCGGGACACCCCCAGAGTAAGAAACGAATTAATCGATGTTCGATTACTTCAATGTTTATCCAAAGAGATTTTAAAAATCTGATAAAATCATCAAAACCAGAACCTGAAAAAAGTTGTGACTGAAAAATATTGACACATTTTTATCTTTAAAGTGTCGTTTGTTCAGATCAGGTTTTAACCTTTATTTTGCTGATGTCTATTCATCGAATGATTAATTAAAATAAAAATAAAACAAACAAACAAAACAAAATATAAATTATTTCTTCAACATTTATCCGAATAAAAAGCTTCAAATATCCGCGCCATTAAATTCAGTTATAGGATTTTGATATAAAAAAATCCAATTTAGAGACGAATATATTTTTATCTAATAAGTCATAAATTTATGCCGGGTTTGCAAGAACTGAATGAAAGCCTCGTAAGTAAAATATGTTTGTCATTTGAACTTAATGTAGGAAGAGAATTATTTTATAACTTGGATAGTCTGCATTATTCTCTGTCTCTCATATATATATTATATATATTAGTTTTAAGGTGTGTTATATTTACGGCATAAAGTGTTCAGTATCAGGGATAGAGCGTATGCAAATATAAAAGTGGACATTCAAGTAAAAAACCGAGTCGACATTTTTTCATGCTAAATGCAATCGCCAGGCTATGTGCGTCGTGTTTTTGATCGATTATTTATATATACAGGTCAGTGATGCATTGTGGGTAGTCTATTGTATTGCATTGTGGGTAGTCTATTGTATTATTCGAACGGTCATTTTGGTGCGCGTTAACGGTTTCGAATTGTTCTGGGGGTGGGGTGGTGGTTGTGGTGGCAATAAGTGTTGATCCAATTGCAGTTTTTTTTGTTATTTGTAGTGTTAGTTAAATATTTATTTTTCTTTTTTAATTTATTATTGATTATTTTATTGTTGGTTGTTGTTAGTGCGTTTTCTTGTTATTATCTCTGCGTTAATTTGTTTCTAATGAAATTTGTATAAAAGTGGAATTGCTACCCAAATACACAAATATATATATATATATATATATATATATATATATATATATATATATATATATATAGAGAGAGAGAGAGAGAGAGAGAGAAATATTATTAAAAAAAAAAAAAAATCTTTAACAGAATCAATTATGAAAACAGCCAGAATGTACTGGCCGTATTTGGGAATTAAGAATATGTCTACTTGTCAGCAACTTTTGAGTTGTTTGCAATAGTAATTATTATAAATGCAGTGTAACTAAAAATCCTTGAAAATGGTTAATTCGCTGAAAATACTTGGAATCAAATATTTGGATATTTTCGACACTCATTATGTCCGGCAAAGAATGTTCGCGTATATATGATACATAGTTTGTCATAAGTCAGTAAGTATTAAGCTACTCTGTAATTATTAAAGTCATTCGTTTTTATACTTACCCAACATTTTAAGTACATTTCTGATTTCTGCTGAAGAGATCAAACCCTGTCCTTCCCTGTCGAAGGTCTTGAAAGCCTCCATAAAGTCTGCAGAAGTTCCAGTATCTTTTTCCATGCTCATTTCTTCATAGATTGGCAAAATTTCCTCTAATTTGTAGGATTTCTCACCTGAAAAACAATCACAATGCTTTGTTTAGAGGAGAACAAAACCGCACATTTAAAAGGAGAACAGGGATAATTATCGATTCAAATGAGGAAGAAAGAGAAATCGAGCTATAAAAATAGTTCAAATAATTTAACTGGACAATGTATAAAGACAATAGGAATATGGTTTTCCGAAACGTTTGGAATTTTATAGAATCCGATCATTTTCCGAAAATGGAGATGAAATGGCCGCTGACGCAGAACATCCAATTGAATTCAATAGAATAATCCAAGTTAAAATACATGGACGAATGTAGTTTCGATTAATTTTCGTTTTGAAATTTGTATTCAAAATATAATTCTATTGTGCCTTTGTGTTTATGGAAATTTAATAAGTAAACGAAAATTAATATTTTATGTGAAATTTCTGAACCAATAAAGAAGCGATCAATGAAAATTAACTGCGCTGATCTCAAAAGGTTTGAAATTTGAATTAGAATTTCATGTAAAAACAACAAATGATGACATGGAAAACAGATAATTACTAAAGTAAAAAGTTTCTTCGGCCCAAAGTGTATGAAGTCAACACAAAAGAATGTATCTTGTAAGGACAAAGTTGATTGTTTTTTCTGCAAAGCATTGAAACGTACACCGCGGATGATAAATACCAAACTTAACATGAAATACCAACTGATTTAGCTGAAGTTCGAAAGTAAAACTGTAAAACTTTGTAATCCAGAAGTGACACGAAATGGCTAACTGTCGGCATTGAAACAATATTGGTCTAGACATTCTCTCCGTAGGAATAGTTTCAAGAGAAATGTATCTCCTGTAAATGATAAAAATGCGTATAATCCAAGTGAGAATACATTGCAATCACGAGATCGCAAAATAATGTGTTTTCGGAGACAGTAAAATAAATACTTGACTCGTTTCACTCGGTAATTCGATTTTGGTCTCCATTACCCGATCATGACGAAAAGAAATGACTTCATCAAGAGTCTTGTTCTCGCGGCAATTTTTAAGTCACTAATGACAGCGTCAATGGCAGACGACAGAAAAAAAAAAAAAAAAAAAAAGAATGTTATTTTCTTGGGTTAAAAAAAGATAAAATTTGAACAATTTTTTTCGGTGAATAGTTTTAATATTTCCATGTTGAAAATAGAGACAATAGAAAAAAATGTACAATTATTAAAGATACAAAGACTACTATGTTCTATTGTAAATTATTAAAATATATATATATATATATATATATATATATATATATATATATATATATATAGTGTATATAGTCGTGTCAGTGTGGTGTATGCATATACTCGTATGTTTATGGAAGGATCTCGTTGGATGAAGAATATCTTTTATCGGACTTTGTGATGACTGATCGCAGTCGATTCGGACTTACCCATCTTCTTTGTGCCACCATGTTTATTGACCTGATCCTGGGTTGGGTTCATTCCCAAACACCTGAGCAGATCACCAACTTTGAAGGCATCGACATCTCCGTCACGACCGTCCCAGAAATCAAACAGGTCGAACACTTCACGTACCTCTGGAAGAAAAAAAAATAACAAATTTGATTGTCAAAGATTTGACACTCGTCAACATTAAACACAGAGACACATACGTAACAATGAATTCTCGACCACAATGTAGTTACCAAGCAAATGACTTTCAAATCATTGAACAGCAACAAGTTCTTTTAGATTTACGTTTAAGTTTCCGGAATACTAAACACTTTTAGAATTGCAAAAGTGATTTCAAGACAGATGATCGTCATTAATCGCTTGCTGAGTATTGTGAACTAACAGGTTTTATTTTCCGCCATTTTTAAAGATACTTAACAACCTTATTTATTGTCTGCTACTCCTTAGTTATAGTGTCCTTCCAATTGTTTTGTTTTCCCTCGTCTTCTTACTGGCACCAAACTCATAAAACACCTTTTAGTGATCGCTGCACTTTTAATGTGTATCCAGATAGTTTTAAGGATTTGCTACGGACGGTATTGAAGTATAAAGGCAAAAGTTATTTTCACTTTGTATATTGAGGCTTTTGCAATTTATGATGACACTTATTTTGGAATATTTCAATTTGAGTTGAAAGTTATTTTGACTTCATGTCACACAATCTAAATCCTAACAAAAACAGGAAGAATGTATATAGGGCATATCTCTAAAGATGGTTATAAACATGGAATTATTTACGAGCAGTAGTCACACATTCTTGGAAATTAAAAATATCTTATTTTTCGTTTGTCGAATCTACTGTTACCCTGTTAGTCTTATATTTCTCTGGTTAACAAAATTTTGATTCTAATCTATTCTCAGTCTAAATAAATGGCGCAATGCCAGTCTACTAGGGCGGGTAGCTAATCCCCGCTGCAGACGCCTGTTCAGACACATCTGTCTTTGTTCAACATCTACAGATCTCACCTGTGGTTTATACTGCAACTATGCTGAGCAGACCTTAGTTACAGTTTCTGGGAGAGAGCGTGTTATCTAGCGTAATCAGTCTGAACAAGGCCAGCACGCTTAAATGCTCGGTCACGATGACATGTGACTTTGTGCTAGCTCATTCTACAAACCCGATTATCTGGACTATCAAATTTTTTAATGAATATTCTCTGGATTTTGGTTCTTTTACGAAATTTAAGGCAAATATTTTGGTGTTGTAGATTTTTCTTTGCTTTTGTTGGATAAAAACTTCGACATTTTTGAGAAGATCTACATTTAAATCTGAGCTCAATTTCTCTACCTAATATTATTTAATCATCCTTTATTAAATCAATTAGATGAGAGATTGAACGACTATACACAAGAGACTGGGATTAATTTCACTCTTCAATATCATCAACAGTAAACCGTCTTGGGTCGCCTTAATGTTGCCTAATAATTAGCAGGTTATTTTGGTTAACCATTTCTGAACAGAGAGTTCGATCCTTGCAAAATGCCCCTTACTTGTGGCCTTGTGCCAGACTCAGTTAAATTTTGTAAACAAAACTGTTTAAAATTATGAATTTTTTTTCTAGTGAAGTTTTAAGGCCATAGACAATTTTTTTACATGACCATTCCGGCTACTTGGAACTTTATAAAGTGAGATGTAAATAGTTGAAAGTTTTTATCAAAACCCTTTGGACAGTTTTACGTGTACGCGTATTGAAACAAGATTTAAATTATAAAACCTCTGGCCTTTAATGAAACATTAATAATATATTGCTGCTTAAGGACACACACACGCGCGTAAGTAATAAAGCGGATATAGGAATCAACACTGTATGGTGACTGTCAGTTTTATTCTTCAATGCGGTGTTCAGGCCAATTGCTAATACTATAGCCGGCCATATATCTAGGTGTCTAGGGCATAATACATGCATACACACGAGGACGATTAAGCCACGCTAAGGAGATTTCTCCATATAAATATTTAAGACGTGTTTTGAACTACCATTTTACAAACACAGTTTATTTAAATTCAAAACCAAAGAATTGTGTAAATCCAGTGCTAAAAATTTCTCTTCAGACTCTTTTCCTCCCGTGAAATCTTTCTCTTGTGTAAGTCTGAGATAAGGCTTTTTGTTCTTGCCGATAGAAAATTACCTTCAAAATATTCTAGAAACGAAATCATTTTTTCTTATTCTTCAAGCTGGTTTTACTTTTTCATTTTATAAAATAAAATCCTTAAATTAATTGAATTCTTAGATTAAATATTTTCATTGTTAATTTTGGACGAGGTTTTTTTCTTTCTTTTGCTTTTTATCCAAAGACTTTAGGTTGATACACTCTACGACAGTTAGAATAAGCGGTATTAATAGTATCAGACTTGAAGTCTTATCGAATGCTTTAGAAGCACGTTTTATATTGGTTGGTGTTGCTTCATTATTAAATTCACATTGCTTATTTTAATGGCCGTTGAGAATTTTAATGGCCGTTGAGAATTTTGAAAAGAAAAAATAAAGATGAAAGTAAAGCAAATTTTAAAAAAATATCAGTAATGAAATAGGATTCTTTTGATAGGAAAAACACGAAACATTGATAACTTGTCTGTCGTGAATATGGCACTGAAATTGAGTACAACAGGCTGAACAATGAAAATAATGAAAATGATAATGTGTGCTTACTAAAGAAATCCTATTTTATATGCAAAGCTTTGATTAAAACGTTCTTCTCTGCTTATTGAAAAAGAAATTAAATGTGAAATTTTCGTATCAAAAACAAAAACGTGACCCATTTGGGAATGGCATTCAATTCCGCAAATGCTCTTTAATTCGATAAATATTGGAATTCAATAAGTTTACATGTTCTAGGAATTCGATTTTTATGTTTTTACCAATTTAACGCTAACGAATGTCTAAGCTTCTAGAAACGATCTTCGGCTGAATAAGAGATATGTTTTGTAAAAGAATTTTCGTTGAAGCAGCAAAGATACTTTATCAACCTCGATTGATAGGGAGGGGCTTTATGCGTTTGCCGCGTGTGTCAGACAGAGAAGAGCAGAGGCCGGTTTCTCTGCTGCACGCCTTTTATGGCGTCGTGGTGGGATGTGTGCGTTCAGTGCTAATAATAGAAAAGAACAGATCGTCTGAAGAGTGGGGGAGGGAAAGAGGAAACGGGGGAGGGAAAGAGGAAACTGGGAAGAAGAAGTCGAAAGTAGAAATGAGAGGGGTGGGGTAGAAAGAAGGAGGATTTACGAAGAGAGACCAGAAAGTTTATGGAGAAAAAGATAAAGGAAAAAACAATGGCATAATATAACGAGAGGATTAGAAAAGGAAAAGAAAGAGAAGCTAGAGAGAGAAAGTGGAGGAGAAGGAAGAAGAGTGATTATTAGAATGGAAAATAGGAATTTATTAAGTGAAAGAGAAAAAAAGAGAGATATGAACAACTGTAGGGAACGTGTTTGGACGCATGCGTCGAGTTAGGGTGTGAGATTTAATGATATCAAATTCCCAGACAACCCTTCTCTCATCAAGTTATCTTCTCTATAAGAAGGAAACTGAACTGGAGGGGAGGCGATGTTGTATGAAGGAGAAATCAAATGGAGAGAAAGTCTGATAACCACTAAATGCTCCAAAGTTTTCGAGTTTAGACGGAAGAAACTAGAAAAAAAAAACATTTGTTTGATCTAATGTAAGTGGAATGGGAATGTGTCATCACTTAACAATAGCACTCTAGACACTTATTATTTACTAAGTGCTCACATACAATGGCCTTGTGTCAGACTAAATTGAACTTAGTACATAGCTGCAGTATTATCTTCAAAAGTTAATAGTTATTGAGATAATTGGTTTACATTAAATTTCCAATACATTTATAGTGTTTCATTTTTAATAACCAAACACATTACAAACTTGTTTAAATTAGTTGGGAATGTTGTAAAAGGGAAATAAAAAAGGACCCAAAATGGTCCTTCTATTTTGCCTGTTTCATTTGCAAGTCAATCGAAAATATGAGATGTAGTTCTCAAATTTGCGTAGATATTTTCTGCAAAATTCACTTTGAATAATATTTTCTAGACATTGTCTAGTGCATCTAATATATTTTTAAATGGACATATATGTATATATCTAGTCTGCACATGAAGATGTCTTTACGGAAAATATGTTCACAAGAAAAAAAAAACAAAAAAAAACTAGAAATAAGTGAGAGAAGAAATGAATTTTTTTAAAAGGCGATTGAATTGAGACACCTGCAAAATTTGTTAATACAAATAGCATAGAGGATTGTTGACTTTGTGAACAATAGCTTAGTAGTCTCGCAGACCATTGCTAGTATAGCGAGCTTATATATAATGTGCTTTGACCTCTCGGTTACGAAGAATCTACTGGTCAAGCAAAGCCCGGTGCTTTTGAACACAGATTTCTGCTCAGTTTCCTTTCGCAACGTAAACTGGGAAAATTTTTAGGAATGGATTTTTTTCATTTATTAAACAGTATATTTATTTATTTCCACCTACCGACCTGAATATTCGACTATTAGAAAAATATTGGCAAGTAGATTCTTCGTAGCTGAGACGTTAAAGCACATCAGATCTAACGACTGTTACCCCATGGAAATGCAGGTGCCTATCCTGCCGGAGAACGCGCGCGTGTGTGTGTGTGTGTGTGTGTGTGTGTGTGTGTGTGTGATTACGTTTCTCTTGCAGTTTTGTCAAATATTGTCGCTCATAAATAGGGCCACGAAACTTTTCTCTAAGCATTCCATTGGTTCGCTGACATTTGCAAAGCTTAGCTTAGTTTGACAAAGGTAAACATAGAGTACCCAATGAAGATCGAACTCAACACTAAGAATCAATCAGGACTAACTCGGAACAGACGCTCAGGCATTTGAAATCCAAATCATAATCAAACATTTTCGAAATTCAAATATACCAGCTCTTCTGTTGGTTTCGCATGTTTAGATGATTTTAAATTCCAAACTGTAAAACAGTCAAGAGCCAGGAATAAGAATCTATGCGTATAGCCTTTGAGTATCGTAGATTTTACAAATAAATCAGTACGTTGTTTCAACAAGTGGAAATATATTTCCAGCTTTGATTTCTGTTCAGGGTCTTGAACTA